AACAAAGACAGCGGGAGATTTGTACTTTCAGACTTGGCAAGATTGTTAATGTAGCTATACAATTAAGCAGAATTAGCTCATTCCTGTCTGGTTTACTTGGGAGGCTGACAAATGCAGACAGCTCTTCACTCACCCGACGGAAAGACACAACGTAAAAAGTATCCTCTCGGCGGTCAATGGCATCCATGAAGTCATGCTCTGTATGGTCGGGATGCTGATACACCTGTAACTGTCTCAGAGAATCCCTAAGAGGGGAGGAAAAAAAACAAGATACGAAGAATTTTTTTCCTATCCTGACACAAGCACTTCACCAAAGCCACGGAAACAATGGAGACTGAAATGAAGATGGGCTCAGTGATACACCGATGAGAGAAGAGAGCAACAGGAAACTATTGTAAGAGATGACCAGGCTGAGTCTGAGGGAGAAGTCTTCATGGCCACAAGAGTTCTAAGTCCAGCCCTCCTTAAATTCCGTTGACTCTAATAATAATAATAATAATAATAATAATAATAATGATAAAGTTGGAAGGGACCTTGGAGGTCATCTAGTCCAACCCCCTGCTCAGGCAGGAAACCCTATACCATTTTGGACAAATGGCTGTCCAGTTTCTTCTTAAAAACTTCCAGTGCTGGAGCATTCACCGCTTCTGGAGGCAGGTTGTTCCACTGGTTAATTGTTCTAACTGCCAGGAAGTTTCTCCTTAGTTCTAGATTGCTTCTCTCCTTGATTAGTTTCCACCCGTTGCTCCTTGTCCTGCCTTCAGGCGCTTTGGAAAATAGCTTGACTCCCTCTTCTTTGTGGCAGCCCCTGAGATATTGGAACACTACTATCATGTCCCCCCTCATCCTTCTCTTTGTTAAACTAGACATACCCAATTCCAGCAACCGTTCCTTATATGTTTTAGCCTCCAGTCCCCTAATTGACCATTAGTAGTTCAGATTCTTGTAGAGAGCTTAACCTTACAACGAACCAATATATTTATTTGAATGCTTGGACTACTGATTTTCTGCGCTTGACAATGATTTCATACCGGAAGCTGTCCCAGTAAAGGTTCAGGAGGCCAAAGGTGCCATAGTCCAGGGCTTTTCAACCAGTGGTATGGGTATCACCTGTGGTACATTGGCACCTGGCAGGTGGTACACGACCATCCTAGAAAAGTGGTAGCGGGAGAGAGGAATGAGCTGAACTGGTGGCAGCACCGCACAAGCCTGCGCGAGAGACGGCTGGAGCTGCAGGGCTGTCAGGGCTCAGCGGAAGCGCCAGGATCAGCGCCAGGCTCCAGCTGGAGCTTGGCGCTGATCCTGGTGCTTCTGCTGAGCCCTGAAGAAGCGCCGATCAACTGAAATGTTGCAGCATCTCCAGGGTCTTGTGATCTACATTCAGATGCTTGGCAACTGATTCATATTTATGACGGTCACAGTGTCCCAGGGTCATGTGAAGTGACCAAAACCTGATGCAACCACCCAGCAGATGGGGGGAAAATAAAAACCAAACACCCCCCCACCCCACCCCCGCTGCCAATCCTCAACAGAAATGCTCACAACAATGAAAATCTCGGCATGGAAGAGCACCGCTGGGCGGGCAGGCAGGTGTCTTGCTCGGCTGTGGCTTGGGGGGCACTTTTTTCATTGTAACTTCGAACAGTCACTAAGCGAACTGTTGTAAGTCGAGGACTACCTGTACTTTATCACTTTTTCCCTTTTTTTTTTTTTTAGTCATCAAGTTTTTGACATCTTGCTAGGCGACTGGTGGTACTTGGATATTGCCATATCCTAAAAGTGGTACAATGGGTGAAAAGGTTGAAAAGCCCTGCCATAGTCCAACTAAGCAGGAACCATAATTAAACCTCCTTGAAATAATTGGAAAAGAGGAGATAGGATCTCCCACGCAATGGATCACTGCAATCATTTTCTCGGCTTATGTATATGAGTGGAACGAGCAACTATGATACTATCGTAAGAAACCTTTCCGGTTTCAACTCAAAGAAGGGGAAAACCCACAAGTGGTCAGGCAAGAGTAGAAGAAACCCCAATTTTCCCACTAGGATGGAGAGTCCAAACGAAATTCCCAAAGAGAAGGCAAGACGATCTGCCACATGAGACACTTACCCCTCGGGGTATTTGGGGGGGCTGGCTGGAACATAGCGGGAAGGGCTCGGAGGCTTCTTCTGCGGCTTCTCCTGAAATCCCAAAGACATGGGTTGTAGGTAAGGATGGGAGAGATGCCTGGGAGAGGCACCAGGATTGCTTACATTTTAATTACCCCTCCTTTTTTTTTTTCTTTCTTTCGCAAGCTACCAGAGATTCCTTGACCAGCTTTTGGGGGTCCTGCTCAGTGCCCATTTTCCTTCCCCTCGAGACGTTGTCGTGTCCCACCTGGCTGCTCTGAGCTGCTTTGCGAGCTTGTAAGGGTTTCCTCCGGTTGTTCTGGTGCCGCCGGACCCAGCCGCTAAGCTCATCTGCCAACCTAGAGGTGGGAGAGAAGTGATGGAGGATTATCTATCGATTTGCAAGCCTCTAAACCAGTGTTGAACTATGGTGCTGGAGAAGACTCCTGCGAGTCCCTTGGACTACAAGGCATTCAAACCGGTCAGTCCTAAAAGAGATCAACCCCGACTGCTCTTTAGAAGGCCAGATCCTGAAGTTGAAACTCAAGTACTTTGGCCACCTAATGAGAAGGAAGGACTCACTGGAGAAGAGCCTGATGATGGGAAAGATGGAGGGCAATAGAAGAAGGGGACGACAGAGAATGAGGTGGCTGGATGGAGTCACTGAACCAGTAGGCGTGAGCTTAAAGGGACTCCAGAAGATGGTAGAGGACAGGAAGGCCTGGAGGAACGTTGTCCATGGGGTCGCGATGGGTCGGACACGACTTCGCAATTAACAACAACAAACCAGTGTTTCTCTACCCTGGCAACTTGAAGACATATGGAGTTCAACTGGCTGGTGAATTCTGGGGGTTGAAGTCCACGTGTCTTCAAGTTGCCAAGATTGAGAAAAGCTGCTCCTAAACTAATAGCTAAGGAGTATCAACAACGTCCTCCACAGGACCTACCGGAGCGATTCAGTACGATTGAACTGCCGGCAATCTGAAGCGAGGAACAGCTCGTCCAGGTCCCTCAACATGAGGTCCTTCATATCTGAGAAGGGAGCTGACAAGTTCCTGAACATGGAAGAGGGAGAAAAAAACATGTATGGTCAAAATTCTCAACAACTGAAGAAGTAAAGCTGTCCGGTTCGTCACGCGGCCGCCATGGACGGCTGGGAGATTTGCTCTCTCTCCCCCGTTCAATTTCGCATTGCTGGGGGGCCCTGAAAAGGGCCCGAAAGTCGCCCCAAAGAGGCGACCAGCAAGGAGGGGCTTTTGCTGGATCGCAGGAGAGCAGCAACTCTCCTGTTAGAGTTGGCAATCCCTCCAAACCGGCGGACGAAAGGACCGGCCATAGAAATATGGCTCGTCCCTAGGCTACTAACAGCCGAAGTCACATTACCATCTGGCAACTTCAAAGCAGCGTGGAAAGGATTGGGTGAGATCTGCCTCTCTTACATCCTAATTACTTAATTACCTGCATAAGCTGCTAAAGTACTTTTCCCCCTGTGGTGAGGGGAGGGGGATTTTAGCCCTCCCTCCAGAAACAGCTGCAATCAACGTTGGGAAAATTCCTAATTGGAATTCTATTTCCTAAAACTGGTGGATTATAAGACTTGTAACTTTCTACTCTCTATTTTTTCTTCTTCTCTGATTTTTACTCTATTATTGAAGAGTTGGGTTCTTCCCCCCCCTCCCTTAAAATAGAGGGGGGGGAGAAAATTGAAAAGCTCTAACTAACTCTGAGATGACATTTGGAGGTTAAATTTGAGACTGTAACTTGTTATTCTTTAAGAGAGACTTGTTGACATATTTGAAAATAGATAAGATACAAAGCAACCTTGAAGCACCATCTGCAAGAAACTCAGCTCAGCTCCTTACTTGGTGGACTTTCTGATTGTAAGGTTGTTTTTTTTAGTTTAATATATTACAATGGAAGAAAAACAGGAATGGATTTCTCCTACAGAGGAAGTACAGGAACAAATTCTTTATATGTTAAAAGCAATTATCCAAACTCTCCGTATAACTCTGGATATGCAAACTCAAACTATGACTTCAACCAAAGAATCATCTCTATACAGAATTCTATAGAGAAAGTGAAACAACCAAATGCTATGACAGAAGACTTAGATCAGTGGTGGCAAACCCATGGCACGGGTGCCAGAGGCGGCACTCAGAGCCCTCTCTATGGGCACGCAAGCCATCGCCCCAGTCCTAGGCCTTCAGCTGGGTTTTATAAAACCTTTTTGCTTTAGGCCTCCGCTGCTGTGTGCAAAAAAAAAAAGTTCAATCAGTCAATTTCAACTTCTCGCGGAGGGGGGGGAAGATCTTGCAAAGTTGGAATTGATTGAACTTTTTAGTCCCACCCAGTCTGCCGTTACCACCGCAGCCATGCCCACCTAATGGGCCACACCCCCCCCAAATGGCCACACCCAGCCAATGGGCCACATCCACCCGGCACCCCACGATGTATAAGTGGGTTTTGGGTTGCAGTTTGGGCACTCGGTCTCTAAAAGGTTCACCATCACTGTCAATAGCTCTTAAAGCATTCTGTCCTACAAATAAGTCATCATTTTAAAAAATGTAGATATAAATGCACCACTGTCAGCCCTTCAAGGTAATCCAGACAAGAAGCACCAACCTCGAGTATTAACGCTAACCTTTATTGTAAGGTTACGAGAACAGAATCTTGCAAAATTGAAAGTACCTTTCCCCATCCCCTTATTTTTTACTTTCCTCAAAACCAGAGAGGGCCACTTCTGATGCTTTCTCCACCCTCAACCCTCCTTCCCACATAAAAGTAAAGATAAAGGTGTCCAGTTGTACCTGACACTGGGGGACGATGCTCATCTCAGTTGCTTAGCAAAGGGAGCCAGCACTGTCTGCAGACCCTTTCCATGGCCAGCATGACTATATGCCGAGGTGGACAGAATGCTGTTACCTTCCCACCAAGTGATATTGATGTATCTACTCACATTTGCAGGTTTTGGATCTGCTAGGCAGGCAGGAGCTGGGGCAAGTAACACCCCCGTCGTATGGCGCTTGGGTCTCAAACCCAGGCTGTCAGCTTTCCATCTGACAAGCTCAGCAACTTTAACCGCTGAGCCATCCCGCCCCTTTCCTCCCCACATATCATTACAATGACTTAGATCAGGGCTTTTCAACCTTTTCACCCATTGTACCACTTTTAGGATATGGCAATATCCGAGTACTACTAGTTGCCTAGCAAGGTGTCAAAAACTTGATGACAAAAAAAAAAAGGAAAAAAGTGATAAAGTACAGGTAGTCCTCGACTTACAACAGTTCGCTTAGTGACTGTTCGAAGTTACAATGGCACTGAAAAAAGTGCCCCCCAAGCCACAGCTGAGCAAGACACCTGCCTGCCCACCCGGCGGCGCTCTTCCTCCTGTCCGAGGTTTTCATTGTTGTGAGCGTTTCTGTTGAGGATTGGCAGCGGGGATGGGGTGGGGTTTGGTTTTTATTCCCCCCATCTGCTGGGTGGTTGCAGCAGGTTTGGGTCACTTCACATGACCCTAGGACACTGTGACCGTCATAAATATGAATCAGTTGCCAAGCATCTGACTTAGATGTCCTTCCTGTGGTTGAGCAGGAAGATACTGCAGCTTAAAAAACAAAACAAAAACCAGGATCATTCCAGCAACAATGGTACTCTAAATCAGGGCTTTTCAACCAGTGGTACGGGTACCACCTGTGGTACATTGGCACCTGGCAGGTGGTAAGCGACCAACCTAGAAAAGTGGTAGCGGGGGGGGGAATGAGCTGAACCGGTGGCAGCACCGCACAAGCCTGAGCGAGAGATGGCTGGAGCTGCAGAGCTGTCAGGGCTCAGCGGAAGCGCCAGGATCAGTGCTTCTTTGGGGCTGTCAGGGCTCAGTAGAAGCGCCAGGATCAGCGCCAGGCTCCAGTTGGAGCTCGGCGCTGATCCTGGTGCTTCTGCTGAGCCCTGAAGAAGCACCAATCAGCTGGAAAGCAGCACTGATCCTGAAGCTTCTGCTGAGCCCAGAAGAAGCGCTGATCAGCTGGAATGTTGCAGCATCTCCAGGGTCTTGTGATTTACATTCAGATGCTTGGCAACCGATTCATATTTATGAAGGTCACAGTGTCCCAGGGTCATGTGAAGTGACCCAAACCTGCTGCAACCACCCAGCAGACGAAGGGAATAAAAACCAAACACCATCCCACCCCACCCCCGCTGCCAATCCTCAACAGAAATGCTCACAGCAATGAAGACCTTTGACAGGACGAAGAGCACCACCGGGCAGGCAGGCTCGGCTGTGGCTTGGAGGGCACTTTTTTCAGTGTCATTGTAACTTCGAACAGTCACTAAGCGAACTGTTGTAAGTCGAGGACTACCTGTACTTTATCACTTTTTTCCTTTTTTTTTTGGTCATCAAGTTTTTGACCCCTTGCTAGGCGACTGGTGGTACTCGGGATATTGCCATATCTTAAAAGTGGTACAATGGGTGAAAAGGTTGAAAAGCCCTGCTCTAAATCAACTCCTTCTCCACCTCAGCAATTTTAAGATGGGCCGACTTCAACTCCCAGAAATCTTTAAAGCTGCCGAAGTTCAGAAACCACGGAGGGAAATTGCGGCCGGCTGCTTCTCTTGACACATTATTTTTCATTTCACACTTTCTGCCTCCAAATTACCGGAATTGGGGCTTGCCTGGCCTTGCCAGGGTCTCCTCTTGCGGTTCCTCTTGCTCCTCCGCTGGCATTTCAAGAGTTTCTTGTGTAATGCTTAGAAGATGCCTTTGGCCTGGCCCAGACTCCTGTTCCTGCTTGGGCTGAGACACATCTGCAACTTTGCGTTCGGTGATGCTGGAGAGATTAAAAAGTGGAATCAGGTCCCAGCCTCGTCAGATATTTTATACAGAATTATTTCTGGCCTACATAGTCTAGTGCAGTGGTGGCGAACCTGTGGCACGGGTGCCAGAGGCGGCACTCAGAGCCCTCTCTGTGGGCACACGCGCCGTTGCCCCAGTCCTAGGCCTTCAGCTGGGTTTTATAAAACCTTTTCGCTTTAGGCCTCCACCGCCATGTATGAAAAAAAAAGGTTCAATCAATCAGTCAATTTCAACTTCTCGCGGGGAAAAAAAGATCTTGCAAAGTTGGAATTGATTGAACTTCTTAGTCCCACCCAGTCTGCCGTTACCACCGCAGCCACGCCCACCCAATGGGCCACGCCCACCCAATGGGCCACACCCACCAGGCGCTCGACGATGCATAAGTGGGTTTTGGGTTGCAGTTTGGGCACTCGGTCTCTAAAAGGTTCGCCATCACTGGTCTAGTGCACTGATGGCGAACCTTTTAGAGACCGAGTGCCCAAACTGCAACCCAAAACCCACTTATTTATCGCCGGGTGCCAGGTGGGCGTGGCCCGCTGGGTGGGCGTGGCTGTGGTGGTCATGGCAGATTGGGTGAGAGTGGCCAAGGTGGGCGTGATCACCTCGATGTTGCTCGTGGGGAGGGACGCCTGTGGGGGCCGGGCAGGGTTGGGGGAGATCCAAGGGGTCTCTGGCAGGTAGGGTGGTGGGTAGGAGGCTCGTCCTGCGGAGTGAGGCGAGGCAGGGTGGGGGTGCCATTATCTCAGGGCAAGGCAAGCCAGGGGCCGGGGCAGCTGCTGCCTGACACCATCGGCCCCCGCACACAGAGGCCAGCGAGCGCATGGGGGCCGACAGTGTCCGTCAGCAGCCACAGCCTGCCGGCCCCTCGACCGGCGCACTCTGGGGCTCCGCAGCCCGCCACCAGCAGTTCAAAGAAGTGCCCACAGAGAGGGCTCTGAGTGCCGCCTCTGGCACGCGTGCCATAGGTTCGCCATCACTGGTCTAGTGAACTGACTCCAAACTACCATCCTTTTGCAAAACATCAAGTGCCATGTCCCCGTAACCCCCAAAGAATAGAGTAGATTCTTCCTGAATCTGTCCCAACTGAGGGGGGGGGGAGAGATCATGTGAAGAAGATCCAAGATTGTCCAGTATTCTCATAACTATCAAGAAAGCAGCAGAGCAGAGAAATAAAATCAATAGCTTTCAGCAGGAGGAGCTTTCAGCAAGGCTACAGAAGACAAAGCAAGCTCTCATAAAGCCACAAATAAAAGTCAGAAAATTATGTACCACTTTAAAGGCCGCACTTTTGGGGACCCGAGTCCATTTGTCAGAGCATAAAGTGAGCAGAGGGAAGAAGTCAGAGAGAGGGACAATGACTTATTAACAACATGGCTAAGGCATGCTCTTTAAAATGCAGACTGTAAGTAATATTTTTCAAACCTGGCAACTTTAAAGATGCGTGGAGTTCAGTTTCCAGAATTTCCTGGCAAGCATGCTGACTGGGGAACTCTGGAAGTTGAAGTCCACACATCTTAAAGTTACCAACTTTGAAAAACGCTGGTCTACAGACTCCAAAGGCGTGGACAGCAATTCAACACAGGATTCTCTAATATGAGAAAAAATATTTTTTAAAGCAAACAAATTAAGCAGCTTTTAATTTAGAAAATGAACGAAAACTAAAAAGAAGCATTTTTTAAAAACTCAGGAGTCATCAATACGCTGTACGCTGTAGGAGATGAGCAGGGAAGGTTAAGCACGCCATCAGTTTAGAGTCCTTATGTTCCCACAAGAAACCTAACTGTCAACCTCCAGCTCGAATATCAAATAAAGAACAGGATTACCTTCATTTTTGAAAATCTTACTGATTTGGTCTAGGCGAAGGAAAACTAACTCTAAAATCCCAAGGCATCTAACCACAGAATATAACAATGATATTCCCAGCCAAAACCCCCAGATGTCCACATAGCTCATGTAAACAAATTCTCTTTGTTATGAGAACCATCTGCTATCTTCTTCATATCTGCTCGAATGTCCTTGAAAGGTTTCCAGCCAGCCTTCTCTCAGCAAACGTCCGAAGAAGTGGAGGGGTTTCGTTTCTCTAGGTTTCGTTTCTCTAACTAACCCAGTCGAAAGCATCATCTCCTCCCCCTTTACTCTAATGGCAAGATGAAAACAAAGAGGCACGTAGCTGCCCAATTTTCACTCTTGACACTAAGTCCAGCTCTCTGTGAATTCCGTTGACTCTTTTACCTAGCCCTAATTTGGCTTGACCATTAATAGATTAGATTCTTGTGTATAGGTAGCATGAAATAAACTTTTATTGCTTTGAATTGTACTCCCGTTCCTGCGCCTGACATGAATGCGATCTACTTATGGTCAACCAAACTGGCACTAGATAAGGGTCAACAGAATTCACAGGGGGCTGGACTTAGGTCTCTTGTGGGAACCTTAG